AAAAGACAGTCTTACCAAGTTCGCTAGCAGTTTCCTCCAAAACTTTCTCGAGTTTGTCCTTGCTGCGACCAGCAACAGCCCATTTAAACTTCCCTTTGCAGTTCTTTGCCACCTCACGTACCACATATTGGCCAGTGAAGCCACTTGCCCCGAACACAACGATTGCAAACTCCCTGTCAGACATGTTGTTGCTCTCTCTACACTGAACTTTGTTCGTCGTGCAGCGAATCATCATCGAAGTGGAAAAGACTGGGAACTAACGGGTGATCACACTGCAGATCGCTGAGGAGCATGGGACGTTGTTTTCAAGATGGCGAACAACGCGCCGGGCTTTCATTAAAGTCTTGCTGAAAACAAAAGTTAGAATAGTTGAGGTGATTCTGTACAAGTTTTTAAAGTTTCTAAATAATTTGAAATCCTTATAAGATCATGGGAAAGAAACACAAAAGCAAGAAACATCACAAGAAGGGCACTGATATCGCTGAAGGTAACAGAAGTAGTGTTTGCAGGCTTTTGTGATCGCGTGATTGTTCTCCTCTGTCTAAAATTAATTATCCGACATAAATTATTTTGAGTAATAAATTGAGTGATTCTCCTGTCCGCAGACATACCTGGGAGATCCGAGAAAGCCGAGAAAGGGGAGAAGCCAATTAAACTTGTGCTTAAAGTTGGAAGTAGTCAAGAGAAAGTTTCTGCTAAATCGGACGCTCCAAGTTCGACAAGCAGGCCTGCAGTAAACGTTGACAAAACGAAGTCTAAAGATCATTCTTCGAAAAAGAAAAAGAAGAAGAGATCGGCATCCAGAGAAAGAAAGAAACCCAAGTTTGATCCCGGATCTAGCGTGAGTAGACCGAAGTAATGTCTTCATGATCGCATGTTAATTCATTGTTTGGGCTTTCATTAAATACTTTTAGCACAGGTAAACCACCCTCGGTTCTTGTGGCCGATGTTGTTAATCTGATCATTGATCTTTTTTGTTCCATAAGACAGAGAGGGCTGGTCCCATTAATGTTGTCCATCTTAAAGTGAGTTGCATGAGTGTAGGGTGTCATTTTGATCTCTCAGTGCCAGTCTTTTGAAAAACAGAGTAAACATTTTACAGCGTTACACCCCTACTTGACCTTCTGTTATTAGTACCTTCCCTCCTCCTCCCTTTTCCCTGCTGGGTTAAGCACTCTTCTCATGCCCCAAACCAATTGGTTTTGTCTTGCATTACGAAGCTCTAAGAACATCTGTGTGGGAGGCTGACAAAAAAGAAAACAATCAAACTAAAGATTTTGTTTTTATTTTGATGTGTATGATTTTAGGCTTGTGCTTCACCATCGTCTGTTAGCAGCCATGAAAAATCCAAGAAAAAAAGAGACCGGCATGAATTTGAAGCAGAAAGTAACAGCATGGCTGACACTGAAAGACCAATCAAGAAAATTTACATCAAGCCTATAGAGCCTCCAGTCAGGTAAAATAAAGTCCTTGAGTTAAACTGTAGGATGGTCTGTAAATAGACGGGAGAGCTCAGTAAGTGAATGACATGAAAGATGTAAAAGATGTTACGTGCCAATTATGTCATTTTTCACATTCATTTATTTTAATAATTATAAGCTTAAAATTTGAGTTCTTTCTTTAGTCCATACAGTACAATATTGATATAGCTGATCCTACATTATGGATCAGCATTATGCAGAGAGTATTTAACCTAGCGTGTTCGCTTGCACCCTTTTAGTCTCTCTGTAGCTCAGTGGTTAGAGCACCCACCTGATGTTTTGGAGGTCATCGGTTTAAATCCTGTCATGCACTCAAGATTTTTGTTTGTCCCACGCTCCCCTATGGTACACTCACTTTTTTTTTTTCCTTTTTTTTTTATCATTTTTGTTCCCCAGAAACAGCCCAGAATCTAGAAAACTTGGTGGTAAGTACAGTTGTATGTCTTTGACATTTTGTTGCAGGGATCCATAATCATTTTTTCTCAGAGTTGTCAGCTGGGCAAGTAAGGCTGATGGCATACTTGCCCGGTTTCAATTCGGGTTGCCCATACAAAAGTGCAAAATTATATAAAAAAATGGTGGAAAAATTGTGTGCAACTTAAACATTTCATTAGCATTAGCATTTTATTCGTTATAGTAACTAAGAAAGGGTTTTAACTAAACTGTTAAGTACAACAGGCTACTGGCCTAGGCTAAACACAGCTTATTTTCATTTTACAAGTAGCCACGGTTGGTCAGGTTGCCGTGAAGGCAAGAGGGTGCGCTAGCGTTTTCCCCCGTATGAAGGAAGCGGCTCCTGCATCACCCTTTTTTTCAGTCAAAGGCAGAGAAACGTCTTCTAAAAAATGTCACATCTTGATGTGTATAAGGCACCGGCTTCTGTTTGACCTTTTGTTTTCCACAGACAGGGCTTCTGATATTTCGCGGAAAAAAAAGCAAAATTTCGCGGGATTTTCAGGGGCAAATTTGAGGAAAAATCGGCTGATTTCGCGGGATTTTCGCGGGAAAAGTCAAAATTCGCGAAACAATCGGCCGATTTCAGGCGATTTTCGCGGTGGAAAAGTCAAAATTCCAAGAAAAAACGGCCCATTTCGCGGGATTTTAGCGGAAAAAAGTCAATTTTCGAAGGATTTTCAGGGGCAAATTCTTAGGAAAATCGGCCGATTTCACGTGAAATTTCGGGGGGAAACTTCGCCAAGAAACAATCAGTAAAAAACAGCCGATTTCGCTGGGTCTTTTTTTGGCAAATTTCGCTAAAATTGATCA